TCAGTAATATGACCTGTTAGAAGTTACCACCAGAAATATCAGGAGAGTAAAACACCTAAATTGGGGAGCAAAGGTGAAGGGATAAGAGGCCTGCTCACAACCAGCTCTGTGAAACCATCTGACTTGTTACATACTTAACTAAAAATGTAAAAAGTTGCACAACTCTTCCTACGAGGGGTTATTCAACACTAGCTGCAGGTCTGGGACCTTATCCCTGGCCTGGGGGGTGGTGCTGGGGAGAAGGCAGTGGCTACTGGCTACACTAGAAGCTCTTTGAGGCAGGCCACAAGCATGGGAAACAGGGCAGCACAGAAAACCACCCCACTGCCATTGGGCACCTGTACTCACCTGACCTGAAGTCTGGCTCCTGGCCCCTGTTATGTCTGTTGAGACCCAGTAGAGGGCTGGGTAGGAACATTAGTATAATGTCAGTGAACAGAAGTAGGGGCAGCAGGAAGTCATCAGATAACTCAGGGAAAGGACCGGAGGAAAGAGCCTAACAGATGAGTTTTCTATCCTCAGGGCTGGAAAACTGTTGCTCAAGAAGAGGTAGCTATCCTAAGATCCCCTACCATGAGATAAGGGACCAAGTCCACATGGCATATTTCTCTGGTTCCTTTATTTTTTGAGACAGGATATCAGGTGAGCCAGGCTGGTTGCCAACTCACTATGTAACAAGGGATGACCTTTAACTTGTGATCATCCTGTCTCCACCTCCTGAGTGCTGGGAGTACAGATGTGTGCCACAATGCAGTATTGGACATCAAGCCCGGGGCATCATGCATGCCAGGTTTCTACCAGCCTCTATACGTCCCCAGTCCTGGCTCCAGGTTTAGCCACCATTTCTCAGTACTCAGTCTTTTGCTCTCTGTGTCCTCTGATTTTGCTGACAGCCTCCTCTTACTGTAACTCATAGCCTTTCCTTAATACCCCATTCTTCCTTGATTTTCTATCTTCTTACCCCCTTGATGAGAGATTCTTGTAGGGATTCTTACAAGAATACAGTCTAAAAAATATGAAGAGCTAGTAATTCTGCTATGATCAATTACAAAATCAGCAAGGTTCAAGACCCAGGACTGGGGCGATGGCCAGTCAGTAAGCGGCACAAGCACAAGGACCTGAGTTCAGGTCCTCAGCACCCATGTGACAGCTGGGTGTGGTGGATCATGTCCATGATCCTAATACTGCCTGAGCTTGCTAGACAACTAGTATAACTGGTGATCTCCAGGTTCAGTGAGACCCTGTCTCAGAATATAAGGTAACTGTCTTGGGGGAAGACACCTGATGTCAACCTCTAGCCTCCATACTCACATGCACACACACACACACACACATAACAAAGCAGGCCCTCATTCTCAAATACACCACACACACACACACACACACACACACACACAGAGAACTGACCATACACTTGCCTTCATTAGGGGCAAAAGAAAGACAGGCTTTCAACTAGCTTTATCTCCAAACTGAATACATGTACTCTAAAGAATTAGATCCTATTCACAGGAATCTCACTGTTACATATTAATGACCCTACCAAGTAGAAAAAGCCTTCCAGTAACACACAGACTAAAACTTTAAAAAGTGGGTTAACAGAAATGAGATTATCGTACAAGAGACATGATGATCCTCATAGACAACACGATGCAACCAGCAGTTAAGTGAAGTGAGGACCAGATTAAGGTACAAATCTAATATTCAGTATCACTATCATATTTTCAGACCAGTTAATAATTCCACATGAAAGCTTTACAATAGTACTGATAAAAGTTTTATGCATAATTACATCAATTAGAAATCTAATTATTTTAATATATTATGATAATCATTTTAGTGACCCAATCCTTACTTATGAGAATTTCGTACAGGCAAATAATGTGCTTTGATCAAATCCGTCCCCACCACTTTTCCCTTCCAACTTCATGCGTTCTCTCTTTTTGTGAAACCCACTGAGTCCACTTAATGTTTCCTGTACATACACGGGTGTAGGATCATCTACGGGAGTGCGGGTAGAGTCAAGGGCCGCATCCCTGAAGAAAACAGTTCCTCCCTCAGCGGCCATCAACTGTCAACAGGCTCTCAGATAGGAGTGGGACTTCAAGGAACTCCACCCCAGCCCATGCTGGGATCTTGGGTGGCTTGATCACAACTGTACAGTTCCAGTGCATGTAGTCACTGCTGTGAGTCCTTATGTGGAAAGGCCTTGTCCAGTCCAGCAAATGTTTTGCTTTAGACAGCCACTAGCTCTGGCTCTTATAGTCTTTTCAAGTATCAAATTTTAGCAGAATATTTTTAACTTCTGGGTCTCTGTGTTAAGCACCATCTACTGCAAAAAGAAGCTTCTCTGATGAGGGATGAGCGATAAGATGCACTAATCTACGTGTATAAAGATAAGAACTTAGGGGACAGTTTAAAACTGTGTCCATTTAGTAGAACAATAGTTTTAGGTTCTCTACTAGGGTCTATGACCTAGACAGTCATTGAGTAATCACTTAATATTAATGGTCCTCAGTTCCTCAATAAACACAAACAGATTAGCAGACTGGATTAGAAAACAGGGTCCATTTTCTTGTTGACTCCAAGAAACACACCATACCATCAATGACAGACGCCAGCTTAGGGTAAAAGGAGGTGTTCCAAGCAAATGGAGCGAGAAACGAGCAGGTGTAACTATTCTAATATCTGACAAAATAAACTTTCAAACTAGTCAGAAAAGATAAGGAGGGTCACTTTATTCACACTTAAGGTACAATCTACCAAGAGGATATTACAATTCACACCAAACACAGGCGCACCCAATATCCAACTCCAACACAGTGATAGTGGGTGACCTCAATACCCAACTCTTACCATATCCAAGTGAGGTCATCTGGATATGAGAAACAGAGAAGCATCAGAGTTAAATGGCATCAAAAATGAAATGAACCTAACAGGCATCTAGAGAACATTCCACCCAAACATCACACATTTTTTTCTCAGCTGCCCATGGAACTTTCTCCAAAATGTATCACATATTAGAACACAAAGCAAGTCTCAATAAATAAAGGAAAACTGAAATAACATCCTGCATTCCATCTGACCACAACTGAAAAACGCTACATACCAACAGCAATAGAAACTACAGAAAGCACATAAACTCACAGGAACTAAAAATCTCACTACTGAATGAAAACTGGGTCAGGAAATCAAGGAAATAAAAAATTCGTAGAAAAAAATGAAAATGAAGAAACATCATACTAAAATCTACGGCACACAATGAAGGCAGTCCTAAAAGGACTAGTTGCCTACATCAAAACATTTGAGTGATCTCAAGTTATTAACTTAATAAGATATACCTGAAGGCCCTAGAAAAACAAGAACAAACAATATCTAAAAACAATAGGTGGGACTAGATCATCAAAACAAGGGCTGAAATTAGTGAAATAGAAAAAAAACAACAACAAAAAATCAATAAAACAAAGAGCTGGTTCTTTGAAAAGATTAACAAGATTGGCAAAACTTTGGCCAAATTAACAAAGAGAGAAGACCTAAGTTAATAAAATTAGAGATGAAAAGGGAGACTTTAGAACAGACACTGACAAAATTCAGAGAATCATCAGGGCACACCTTAAAAATTTATATTCTAGGGGCTGGAGAGATGGCTCAGCAGTTAAGAGCACTGATTGCTCTTGCAGAGGACCCGGGTTCGATTCCCAGCACCCACATGACGGCTACGAACCGTCCTTAACTCCAATTCCAGGGGAATCTGAAGCCCTCTTCTGACCTCCATGGCATTGCACGACATGGGTGCGCTCACATACATGCAGGCAATACACTCATACACATAAAATAAAATAAATATTAAAAAATTATATTCTACTAATCTTTAACGTTGAAATTGATACATTTTCAGAAGGTAAATTATATTACTCTTATGCAATCAATTAGCAGACTATCCCATAGCATGTGTGCAAAACAGAAACATACATCACTACCTTATATTCAAACCAGAATTATAATCTAATGTATTCTATTCATTTTCTTTAAGGAACTGCATAGAAGGCTGATAGAGGCAGGAGAGTGAGTCACTGAGCTGTGCTTGTGGAGTGATGCTTGTTTTGCAATGTCCAAATCATTTCTAGAACATGCTACTTTCATGGTACACTGATATAGAAAGTCTTAGGAAAACCAAATTATTTATAGTAGTCCTTTAGCCCTTAAACTGAGACCAGTTAGTTAACTCCCATGAAGTCATGCTGACACAGGTAGATATGGACACGCTAAAACCAGACGTTCCTTGAGGAAGAGAAAACCCTGGAGCATCTCCACCACTTGCTGCCTCTTTGTGACACTTGTTCAAAGCCTGGTCTACTTTCAGCTTTCTTCTAGCTTACGCTGTGTTGTGCTCTCTCTGCTTCACCACTAAATGCATCTTCTGCAACTCAAGCAGCTCTTGAAATCCCCTTCTTCCAAGAAGTCCCCCACGACTTGTTGGAAGTTGGGGACTTCTTGGAAGTTGTCCCTGTGCTCCCTCATTTGGGTATGGGGTTTTTATGCCACTACCCTCCATTCTCTAAGCCAGAAAAACACTTGCATGTTCATATGTTGCCAGAGTTTACTAGATCTGGCACATGATGTACTCTCCCAAAACTGCATCTGTGGTAGAAGGATGGTAAAATCTATGCTGAACTGGGAGGAAAAAGTGGTGAAGTTCAGAGCCAGGAAGCCAGAAAGCTGTGAGTGCAAACAGGTCCTGACACCTACAGTCTTAAAGTGTCAGAGTCACCCACCTCCCTCCAGGCCCAAATCTCCTCATGCACTGAATGCACGCAGGAGCTGGCTCACCTATGTATGAGGTTGTCCTAACCTGTGGCTAAAAGGAGGTAATTTAGTACCCATGGCAAACTCCCAATAACCAGAATTAACAAGACATTGATAGGTGCTTTTTAACAATGAAGCATTTTTAACAATTAAAGCACTGATAAATGCTTTTTAACAAAGAAGAGACAAACACAGGATAAATCAGAATTCAACTATTTATTCTGAGTGTCAACATTAGACATATAAACAATTATAGCGCTAATAAAATTTTCAAATAAAATGTCAACTCAATTACATCTTATGGCGAAGACAGATTGTTGGCTTTATGCACTGTGCTGTGTATTTAAAATAACAAGACTTTCAGTGGTTGTTCGCTAATTTAGTTTATGGTTAGACTAATTTAGTAATGGTTAACACACACTGTGGGGAGACAATGTTATACACACTTAACAGACTCATCAAGTACATTTGTAAAAGATTAGGCTTTTACTTCCAGTTACTGTGATTTCCTCCTAGATGTCAAATAATGAACACAATATTTACTAACTTCAAATAATCGACATTGTACATGTACATGCTGTGCTCTGAAGTTACTCGAACTAAGAGTGACACTAATTTCATCAACTGAAAAGAGGATTCTACTTTGTCCATACACACTCTGGAAGGGCCCGGAAAGTAAACTCTGACTGCAGCCCAGGGTAGATCGAGCGAGGTGAGGAGATGCTGAGGTCATGATGACCTGAATCTACTGCTTAGGCCACTCATGAGTGAGTCACTGCCCAGTGACCTGGGGCACCTCAGATCTTTACAAAACACAGCCTGTGCCAGAGCTGTGTTTTTCCAGCTAAGAAGCAAGATTCTTCAAAGGGTGAAGGTGGCAGAGGAGAGTAGACTGCTAGAGGGGAAAGTGGTCTGAGTGGGGAGGAGTGCTGCCTGTCCCAGGAGCCTGGCTTGATCTTCAGGCCACACTGAAGAGCACACGGCTTCCGTAGGGCCTGTGGGTGTGATAAGGCGTTGGGCACCACACTCCACATACAGGTCCCTGGGAGTCCTCAAATACAATGCAGTAGTCTATCCAGTTAAGCATGAATGAGAGCTAGAAACTTCTTGGAAAAGTGCTCAATGTTTAGTACTGAGGAAATTAAAATCAGTAAAATGCAGAGTTCATTTACGGACATCTGGGCCAGGAATTATACAAATTTTAACATTTTTAAATGAAGATTTTTCTTAAAAAAAAAACAAAAAACCCAACTACCCACTTAAGAGCGTTAGGCCCATTTGTATGAAATGAAGTTTCTGAAGTTTAGGATGAGGGTCCACAGCTGTGACTTCTCAGATCGCTCCTCAAATGCCTCCTGTGTGCTAGAAATCGCCAACACCAAAGCCTCTAAATAGACACCAAGAAGCACTTTCACATGGATCATGGGCTACTTCAGAACATTCTGGAGAAGCCCCCTGAAGCTCACACCATGCAACATCCAGCTCAGAAAAAAAAAAAAATTAAAAAAGTATGCTAAATAGCCTTACAGGATCAAAGTGCACAACGACAAAAATTCAGCTTCTTTTAAATAGGGCTTTTAAAATAGGGCTGCTTAATACGTTGCAATTAAATAACCACCAACATCTTTCTTCACTACCAAGCTGGGGGAAGAGAGAGAAGTTGCAAGCTCAGCATGTGATGTCACAGGTACCTGTCCAGACTGGGGAAGTGGACAGTCTCACATCTGCCATCTCCCTGGGCTGCCCTTCCCCAGCAGGTGTTCATGTTTTCATGATGGTTGAAGACGCAGCTTGGAAACAGGTGAGCTGCAGGTGCATGCTGCTCTTGAACTTGTTCAGCAGCTCTTCCAGTGACCTGAAGGGAGGAGATGCTTTTAAATTCTGCCAGGAGAGGCAGTTGTTCTACTTTCCTTTTCTGTTGCTGGGATAAAGGACCATGGCCAAAGCAACTTGGGGAGGAAAGTGTGTACCTGGCTTACAGGTTACAACAGTCCATCACTGAGGGAAGCCAGGGCAGGAACTCCAGGTGGGAGCTTGAAGCAGAAACCATGAAGGAATGTTGCTTATTGGCTGGCTTCCGGGCTCCCACTCAGCTACCCCTCGTATAGCCCAAGGTCCACCTGCCTAAGGATGGCTCAGTCTGTAGTGGGCTGGAACCTCCTACATCGCTAAGCAGTCAAGAAAATGCCCACAGACATGTCCACAGGCCAATCTGATGGGAGAAATTCCTCAACGGAGGGTCTCTCTTCCCAGGTGTGTCAAGTTGACAACCAAGATTAGCCATCACAGGGCAGAGCAACTCAGAAAGCTCAGCCCAGGTTGAGAAAGCCACCGTCTCTGAATTCTTAACTCACTAACAGAAAATCTCAGCCGAAAGGAAGCTGATCAAAGAAATGCACTAACATGCACAGCCACATTTATCTTTAGTTTGTTTTCTTTTTCCTTTTGATGTTCCTCCTTTATATCAGATTCCTTCCTAAAACAGAGTAATACTTAGACCTACTCTTCTTAAAATTCACTCTGAAAACTGGTAAAAACTGAAATCCACTCTTTTTGTTACCCAGTTCTGTGACTGCTGGAAGCACACAGCAGCTTAACGGCCCCCACATGGAGGAGAAGGGAGATTTTCTCACCCTGTTCATAAAAGAAATTTATTATTAGTGTGTGTCGGGGGGTACATGCCATGGCCCACATGTGGAGGTCAGAGAACAACTTTGTGGACTCAGTTCTCCCAGCTCAAGAGGGTTCCCTGGATTGAACTTAGGCTGCTAGGTTACACAGTGTGGTGGCAAGTGCTGTTACCTGCTGAGCGAGCTCTCCAACTGCAACCTTCGTCCTCTTATGCTGCTCCCCTGGTATCAATCCTTCCCCCTAAACCCACCCTCCAGGCCTCTGCACAATCCAGGTATCTTTGTCCCTTTAATCTTCCATTTGTTTTTACAAATGCTGGAGAGTGGTGACCAAAGGCGGTGAGGTGGGTATGAAAGAAAGCAAACTTAGTTCTCCCTCCACCAGGAAAAATCACTCTGTAACACACATTGGTTTGCCCTCCTGGTCTGATAAAATTTAGATGATTCTAAAGCTTGAAGAGATCTCGGAGCTCATCCGATACAAGTGCAGAACCAGGTACTGTACCTGCTAGTACCAAGGCCATTGGAGGGTGTCATGGTCGATCATCATCAATACTGGAACATTATCCCTCTACATCTAACTCAGACCCGAAGTGAAGGCATGGTAGGATGTCTGGTCTTTGTTTTGTTTTCTTTTGGCTTTTGGATTTTTGAGACACAGTCTCAAAAAATATTTGATTGTTTGTTTGTTTCCGTTCTCTCCTTCCACCTTTAAATGGGTTCCGGGATGTGAGCTCAGGTCATCAGGCTGGTGTGGCAAGCACTTTACCCGCTGAACCATCTTGCCAGCTCTGGTCTAGAACTTTAAATCTCTTGCCTCAGGCTCTTGAGGAATGGCATTATAGGTTGGATCATCTGGTGGTTTTTTTTTCTTTGTTTTTTTTTGCGACAAGGTCTCACTATCTAGAACTGGCTCCCCTGAAACTTGCTATATAGACCAGGCTGGCTTCATACTCACAGAGACTGACCTGCCTGTGCCTCCCTAGTGCTGGAATTAGAGGTGTGCATCACGATGACTGGACTCATTTGTGGTTCTTGATGCCCAAAGGAACCTTTGAGACATGTTGTGTCTCAAAGAATCAGAATGATTATAATCTTTTATCACATTCATTTTAAAGAAATGAAAGGGGCTTGGAATGAATTCAGATAGAAATTGAAAGTTAGCAAGAAGAAACAAAGTAGGGAATGGAAGCAGGGGTGTCATGTGGATACTGCTCTGCCACCTGCCCGCATGGGGACACACAACTGGAGTCACACAAGTGGGAGAGCTGGTCTGCTGCCCCTTCTCCCAAGTCCAGTCCACCCTTCATGCCCAGTGTTGGTCTAGGTACCCTGTCCACTCAGTATTCCTCTGGGCTCAGCTAGAGTCCAGTCATGTGTGTTTTCCACTAGCATAGATGGGTGGACTTTACCTAGGACTGGTGACAGACAAAGCAAAGAGTGACATGGTCTCTGCTGCCTCAGCTGAGACTAGACTGGGCATTTATGAAAGGTGCCTGGCCTAGATTTTCCCAGGCCACAATTTCCTGTTATATGAATAGTAAAGTTGAAATGTAGGCTGAGAATCATTAATGTGGTAATGACACAATTGTGTTGTGCTGTGTGTGCAAATTGTCTAATACCTTGTATTTTACAGAGCACAAAGGAGAGCTAGAGACAAGAAACACAATCACAGAATCCTGCCCTCTTCTTTTTGCACTATCTTCTTAAATGATAGAAACTAGTTTACATTTTACTGAATAAGTTCAACAGGCTTTCTTAACATATTTTCTGTGCCTGTGTCTTAAAACTAGAAAAGAGATAATTTTTTAAGTCAAGCCTAAAAAATTTATTCTATCACTTAGAAGGTAAGTCGAGGTATAGGTAATCCAACACAAATCCTGTAAGTTAAGCGCCTCCTTAGACCCAGGCCATCCTTAGTATTTTTAGCGGGTCTTCGGGCATAGCCTGGCTCAGCACACCTAGCAGGCCTAGGCCAGCACTCAGCACTTACTTTTTGTCTGCTCCGCTTGCAAGCTGAGGCAGGGCTTCCAAAGCCTGTTTAAAGCTAGACCTGGAACACAAGAGAGCAGTCCCATCAGTGAAGCTATTTGCCGTTCCAAGGAGGAATTAAGAGGATCAGGAAAAACATTCTTAAGCATATTTTAAACATAAAGAAACTAATGTAAGCCAGTGAAGTAAGTGGATATATGTGAGAAAAAGTAAAAGTGAAAAACAAGACAAAAAGAAAAAGTAAAAGTAAGGCTACAAGCTACTGCCAGTCTTCACGGGGCAGGGCCAGCAAGACTCAGCCAGGAAGTGAAACGTGACCAGCAAGACTCAGCCAGGAAGTGAAACGTGACCGAACAAAGGGAGGCTACTCAAGAAAGTGAGGTTGGTGTGGATGAGGAGGGGGGAAGGGGAGACTGGGGGAGTTGGGGGGGGAAGAGACAGAGTCTTTTAAAGCAAAACAACAGATTAAGCAACTGGTAAGAGAGGGATGGACTGTGGGACATGACCCCCACCATGGTCAGTGCTGACAAGGACAGGGCCTGCTAATGGCCAATGCCTTCTCATAGTGGGTATAAGTTGGGTAGGAATCCTACCATCTATAGGAAATGAAGATATGTAGATATAATTTTAAAATGACATCATTTCTTCCCATGAAAAAAGGTAAAAGTGAATGAATGAAAAAGCTATCTATTTGCATGTTCAGCTTCTAGGAGTAGAAAGCATTCCTCAGCCAAATAAGCAGCACACTGGAGAAATTACTTGACAATAGCCTGAGCTGTTCACTAAGGAACAATTCTGAACTTGTGATGTCTTTTTTAGTGACCAGCTGAGGTCAAGAAATAAGTGTATTATTGATCTCAAAGAGGTCTTTGATCTTGTATTGAAAATATCTTCTTCAGGCTTCTAGGAAATGAATGTTCGAACAATGTTTCTCAAATGAAGGGCAGGTGTCACGGCAGCATGTAAAAACAATGAAAGTCCCAACAGAGTCACAAAAACAGCCTCTGGGAATCTTCCACTGTCCCTAGTAGAAGCGGGGTGTGGGTGGGGACCAGCGTTTGTAGCCTTCCCAATGTTCAGTTGGCTCTCCTTCCTGAGAGGGAAGTCCCTCCTATTATCTCTACCACATCTTGTTCCTTGTAAACCTGGATTAATTGAAATCAAATGTGATGATACACTGTTCTCTGCTGTCATAACAAGAATGACAAAAATGAAGATGAAGACTATACCAGCTATTATTTGTAGGTCACCAACAGCTTAGGAGGTGATCTGATATACTTCACTATTTAACTCCTTAAACCTTTGTTTGGGAGGATAGGGGTGAGCATCCCTAATATGAAAATCTGAAATTCAACATGCTTCAAGATTTGAAATGTTCTGAGCACCAAGAGGATGCTACATGTGTAAAATTCCATGCCAAGCACTATTTTATTAAAACATTGCATTAAATCACCTTCAGCCTATGTGTATAGATGTCTATGAAACATAAATGATCTTTTGTTTAGATTTGGGTTCCAGCTTCAAGTTAACGCCTTATACAGAAATATTCCAAAATACAAAAAAAAAAGTCTGAAATTGGATATGCTTTTAGTCCTAAGTAGTTTAGATACAAGATATTCAATCTATATTTTCTTCCTTTCATAAATGAGGAACCCAGGTTCCAAAAGGTTAAGTTCAAGTGGATAAATAGACACTCACAAAAGACAGGGACTGGACACTTCCTATTGCTATATATAACAACTCTGGCAGAAAAATAGTGGTTGGGAAAAGCTGTGGTTAAACAATAAACATGCAAACCATCTAGAAATGGTTTCTGGTAAACCATGACAAACAGGTTTAAGATGCTAACCTAATTTGTTAAGAAAGAAATGAGTTTTCAGTTGTAATGCTGACGGTGAGCATGGTGGCAGGATGCTGTGGAACACCGGGACGGAGGGAGCGGGCTGCTGGAGGCATCCTCCAGCATTTGCTCGGCTGCCTGCTACCTGACCCCTCCACACAGTCACGATGTAGCTGCACACATCCTAGTAGTGCTGTAAACACTTGTGTATGCCCGACTGGTGACTGTTCACTTCACCTACTGATACTTCATCAGTAGGAAATCCTGACTTTCATTCAAAACAGCTAAAAATTATCATCAAATTTCCACTACAAAACTGCAGAGAAACCACAAGGCTTCCTCTTACGCTGATATATACAACATTCAAACTGTCCTGCAAGTCTGCTATGAACAGACAAAGATTTAATTGTTTTGCTGTTCTTTTTTAAAATAAGTACCTCATGTTTGGCCATATTACTGATGAGACTAAGATTTATAAGTAATGAATGAATCACATGAAATTATATTACATTTATATTGTGCTACAAGAAGTGGCCTTGAGAGTCACTGTCTTACTGTAGGCTTGTGACCTTTAGTCAAAACTGACGAAATGTCAACTTCACTGCAGCCCAAATTTATGAGCATTTACTCTGACAAATTATCTTTACAGAGGACACAATACTGTAATAAAACAGCTTTTATTCTACGAAAGCATTTATCATGAACACTTGGCCTCTTACCTGCTTTCATGTGTCAGGTAAATGGCCACAGTATCCCTCAAAGCACAGATTTCAAGTCTTGCCTAAAGATGAGAGAGAAAGAGTAACAGCAGGAAAATGGGTTAATTGGCAAATAACCACAAGTGCTGAGGGAATGATCTCGAACCTGCCAACAGCAGGAAGGCTGAACATCATGTCAGCATGTGACACTTAGAATTCCACAAAGCAGCTCTAATCTACTGGCTATGATGGTATCTCCTTTAACCCCAAATTAACTTGCAGTCAGGTATGACTGCGTGCAGGAGGGAGCTGGCTATACTGCTATGAAAAGGTCAAACCGGTGATCTATATTTACTATCTGACTGGTAATTTGCCTTTTAGTTTGGCTGTGAGAAGAAGGAAACTGAAACATTGACCCTGTGTGGTGGGGCTTGCTTCCTCGAACCTACACCTTCCAGGCACTGTCTTCCTCTCCAGTCTAAGCTCTACAAGGTCAATGCAATCTCTAGTAAATTCATGGATGAGCTTCAAAAAAGATTAAAGAAAATTGACAAATTAACCTTAAAATTCATTTAGAAATATAAAGGTCCCAGAAGAACCCAAAAAATGTTGAAAAAGAGCAACACATTTGGAGGACTCATATTTTCTGACATCAAAAAACTTATTACACTAAGCTACACCAATCAAGTCAGCGTGGTCCCATATACGAACAGACACAAGAACTCTGTAGCACAGAACTGAGAACCTTACATTTATGATCAACTATTTTTCAACAAGGGTTATAAGACCATTCGGGAGAGCATCTGTTCAACAAAGATGACCAGCACAACTAAATTTACATGGAAAATAACAAATTAAAACTTTTCCTTAACATAAAACTCAACTCAAAATAGATCACAGGTAGACCTAACTTAAAAAAAAAAATAGTGGCTATAAAACTCTTAAAAGAAATAGGAATAAATCTTTGTGACCAGCAAGTTTTCTTAGAAAATGCAAAAAGTACCAGCAACCAAAGGGAAAATTAGCTGGAGTTCATCAAAACTAAGCATAATCACAGTGCAGTAACAGATACCATCAAGAAAGTAAGACCACAGCTCACAGAATGAGCACCCATCTCAGTTATGATAGTGGCCATGGTCAATAGGAAAGAGCATAACAAGTGTGGTAAGGAAGGAGGGAAACAGAACCGCATTAATGGCTGCCGGGATAGAGGGTGGTGCCTCTGCTTTGGAAGACAGTCTGGTGATTCCTCAGAGGAGATGTGTGCTAGCACTCTACCACTGAGTCATACCCTAAACTTTACTTTTTATCTTGAGACAGTCTTGCCAAGTTGTCAGGCTAGCCTTGACCTCACTGTGAAAGTCAGTGAGGCTTTGAGTTTGCCAGCCTCCTGCCTCAGCCTCCTGAGGAGCTGGGATTACAGGTGTGGACCACTATGGTCAGCAGCAGATCCATTCTTACTTTAGGTCTCTAGTCTTGGGTGTCTTGGTCAGAGTAGAATCTGACATGTACTCAAGGAGCCAACCAGAAGCTTAGGCAGTGCACATGGAACTGGGGTGCTGCTCTCTCGGACACTTCTTTGTACTTGGGCTGCCCCCAGAATCTAAATCATTAAGATAACAGGTTTTGTACTAAAGTGGACTGCCTTCAGGCTAAACATCCCTAAAAAGTGGCAAATCCTGCTATGTGTTATTTCTTCTACTTAATGACACACCTTCACACTGAGTGACTTAAGAGTCACTTAATGACACTTGTTCTCGAGTAAAGTCAAGTGTTCTGTTTATTCATACGTTTTAAATTTTTATATGTTATCTAAGCTTTCAAGGGTTACCTATGACAGAGTTTCCTCAGCTATAGTGAAGAGCTGTCATTGGTTTTCTTTTTTCTTTTCCTTTTTGTAGTGTGTGTACATATGCCTATATGTGTGGTGCTGGGGAGCACTCCCCCAGGGTCCCATGAATGCCAAGCATACCCTCTACCACTAAGCTACACCCTCAGCCTACCACTACTTTTTAGAACACACCCCCAATGCCCCAGTACACAGAAGCTCACAGACAGGAGGCCACGTTCCCCTCTGCACGTGCCCCTGGGATCCTATCAGTTAAACTCACTGATGTCTAAGAGACAGCTATCTGTGCCTTGGAACTACATGATATTGAACACTTTTGAAAGACATTATATTTATAATCCATTTGTTTTAATGCCTGAAACAGAACCTCTGGGACCTGCAGACAACACATCACGGCTATAGCTCATGTGTGCGGCACTGAAAACACCTGTTATATCTATACAGTGGGTGGATAAACACTCATTTGTACAGTTTAAACAGCAGTAGAAGTTCTACATGGAACTGGATGATTTGGGTACCTGCAGTGCTCCATTTTTGCTGAAGGATGAGACACACTGCATCAGTCGGCTCAGCTCTTCAGAGACAGCTTCTACCACCCTGGCCAGGACCCGTGGCACCAGTCCTTTGGAAATAGTGAACACCTGATGAAGGTTTAGAGTAAGAGGAAACAGAACATTATGTGCCTTTTTCCTGACTTGAGTTTGTCAGAAACAAAATACACAAAATAAGAATGCATTTCATCAAGTCATAATTCTAAAAGGCCAAAGTTATAAATGAAACATACCTAATTGTACTTTAATTAGATGAAATGATTAATGACAAAATTAACTCCTCTTAAAATTATTTATTTAATTTATGTGCATGTATACTTGTATGCATGAGTATATGTGCAAGAATCTGCAGAGGCCAGAAGACAACACTGAATACCTTGGAATTGGGAGTTATAGGCAGTTGCAAGCCACCATGTGGGTCCTGGGACCCAAACCCTGGTCCTCTGAGTAGTATAAGTGCTCTTAACTACTAAGCCACCTCTCCAGCCCCTAAAATAAATCCTTTTGAAAACACAATCTAGGCAATTTTGAAAGGTCTTGCTGATTTTGACTAAAAATTGTTTTGAAATTTTGTGTTTAATGTTCCCTTTGTAAGAAAGAAAATTCCCTTTAAAAAAGAAAAACCACTCTATTTTGCCATAATTGGAAAAAAAAGTGAGCTAGGTGTTGGTACTGTGGCATATACCTGTTATCTTGGCTCGCTAGCAGCTGAGGCAGGAACACATCACCCTAGGAGTTTGAGGCCAGCTTGGGTAACAGAGTGACACTCAGTTTCTTAAAAATAATGTTTCATTATTATGTATTGGACAAACATTCCGGTTTTATTGTACACTGTCAACACATCATTTCTTTTTATTTGACATACATCATTACTGTCAAATTTTATTTACTTATTTGTGTGTGGGGTGGGTGTGCATACCACAGTGTGTGTGGAAGTCAGAGGACAACTGGTGGGAGTTGGTTCTCTCCTACCACGTGGGTTCTGGGGATTGAACTCAGGCCATCAGGCTCAGTGGCAAGTGCCTTTACCCACTAAGCCTTCTTTCTGGCCCTATTTTCAAACTTCAGAGTTTGACACTGAGAATTTTATTTATATATATATTTTTTAATTATTTTATTTTTATTTTTTATGTGTATGTGTGTATTGTCTGCATGTAGGTAAGTGCACCCATGTCGTGCAATGCCCATGAAGGAC